ACTCACACACCCACACAATTTTAATACATTTCTTAACCTGGGCAGCCTCAAATTCCCACTTAAGCTGCTACTTAGCTATAAGAGGCAAACCAACACTTTCTTAGGCCCTATGAGGGGAGATCTAACTCCACCCTCGGAGTCCTCTTAATCACACCACACCCACACACTCTCACAAAATTTTTTTTTACAGATTGGCTGGCGATCTGGCAGATCTGGTCTCATATATTTGTTAGCAGATCTGCGGGCGATCTGATGCCCAGGAGGTGATCAGGCTCCTCTTCCACTAAAATGTAGTGGGCTTCAAAAGGATCCTACCTTACTTTGGATGTCCTGGCGCCACCTGTAACCGGTTCCTCTCTGGTGTTCATTTTCCGCAGTGACCCACCCAGGGAGCTCCCCAGCTGAGTCTCGACCAGACGTTCCTCTGGGAGAATTTGTCCCAGGAACGCTCTGAGGATCGCATGGCCAGACCAGCAGGAGTTCCCTGCGGGGGTGATCTGAGGTGTGAGCAGAACCTGGCTCATCACACAACATTCAAGGACGGGCACCTGAGTGCCGTTTTACAGAGACAAGCACCACAGAGGACAGGGCACAAACACGACAAACTAGACATATGTTTCCAGGTCCCCCCCCCTTTCCTTACACTATCTAGGGGGACTCAAACCCACACTGGCCCTGACCAAGTATAGGGACAAGCAGGACACAAGAAACAATAAACACAGGACATTAATTACAACTGGACATTCCTGGCTGTTGGATCTATCTAGCCAGAAGAATTACACCCAAACCAGAAGGATTACGCTAGAACCAGACACTCCTAGAAGGCCCCCGCCTAACTAGAAGAATTGCACTCCACACAATATTGGAAACCTAGATCCAGAGATGTTACCCAATCCAGACAACCAAAACACAATGCACAGTAAACACAAGACATCCAAACAAAAAGACTCTTTAGACAGACCTAATAAGAAAAGTATAGGAGCAATTCCAAACTGACACCAACCGGAATTACACACTCCACCAACCGGAATTACATGCTTCACCGACAGGCACTCTTTCCGACCTCCCGACCAGCAGGCTATCAAATCATCCTGACCGGAATTACCCAGACCGGGGTGAACGTCTTCAGGCCCCAGTTAGAGGAACAGCATCACTGACCACGTCTGATCTAGCCTCTATCCCCTCAACCACAAAGAAAAGCTCCAAGAAAAACCTTTAACAACCTTAAGCTAGTTTGACTCTCACAAGGAAACACAAGAGACCAAAACAGAAAATGTAGGAAGGAATGTCTCACTCACTGCTGGCTGACGTGCATACTAAACACAAACCCATTCACACGTATTCACCTCCAGGAGCGGTGTCGAAGTAAGTCCCAGATGGGGGATGGGAGTCTTCCCGGTCAGGGAACCAAAATGTTGGGTCCTAGAAAGCCTCCCAAATTAACCCCAACCAACAAACTCGAGACTCGCTCCGATGTAAAGGGCATAAGATGAGATTTATTACAGACCCGGGAGGCCCGGGGGCCCCAGGCCTGGACTCTCCTGGCATGCAAGCCGAGGACAAGCCCTGAACTCGGGGTGAAGGCAGTTTTTATGGGGTACAGAAAGCAAGAGGGGTAGGGTCAGATACGAGTACACTTTTCATTGGTGGTTGGTGATTTCATTAGTAAAGGAGGAAGTAAAGGAGGATTTGCATTGGTAGCTGATGATTTCACTAGTAAAGGTGAATTTGGATTGGTACAGGTGAGGGGTGGAGGGTGCCTTAACCGGGGGCTAGAGTTGGTGCAACCTGGTTACCTGTATTTCAAGGTAATAGAAACTTATTGTTTTATTGCAGTAGGGTGACTTAGTTAATAAGGAATTGGGGGCTTATTGCTCTGTTGCCCAGGGTGGTACTATTTGGTTGAGTAACTATGAAAGGAATGAGAAAGGTTGCAGGGTGGGCCCTGCGGGTATGGTTTAAGCAACTAAGAATGGAATGGGGAGGGTTACAAGGTGGGCCCTGCAGGCCAGGGCCCAGGAACAGAACTTATGTGGAAACAACAAAATGGAGCTGATCTGGTCCTCACACTCTCACCTCAGCCTCCTGAGTAGCTGTAACTACAGGCACCTGCCACAATGCCTGGCTATTTTTAGAGATGGGGGTCTTGCTCTGGCTCAGGCTGGTCTCAAATCTGTGAACTCAGACAATCCACCCACCTCAGCCTCCCAAGTGCTAGGATTATAGGTGTGAGCCACTGTGCCCACCCCCTCAAAATATTCTTTATGCCAAGGAATCGTATTTTGGGATGAAATTTCCTTAGCTGCTTCAGTAGTCAGTCTTTATAGTGAAATAATAGAAAAATTAGTAATTCATGGTTTCTCAATAAGGCAAAAACTTTCTCTGCCTGTTTTCTTTTTCTTGCCAGCACCCCATCAACCCTGTGATTTCACTTTCCACAAACCATTCAGGAACCCAACTGACCAAAAGGAAATGTAAATTCTCTTTACTTTTCCCCAGCTCCTTTGTTTTTTAGTGTTGCAGGAAGATGAAGCCCAATGGAGAGAAAGAGCACCCAAACACCATGTTTATAAGAGGAAGGACTTTATTCACTGGCTGGGAGCTTATGGCATAGAGAAATTCCAAATGGCCATGCTCCCCACTGGCTTGGTCTTTCCCTTTTTATCTACAGTCAAAAAGTTCCGACCCACAGGTACCTTTCTCATTAGCCAGTTTGAATCAAGCGGGAGATGCTGTTTCAGCCTCCACAGAACTACAGGATTTCATAGAAGTGGAAATTTCCAAGTTCCAGGAAGTTAAGTTTACAAATTCCTAAGAGCTGAGTCACCATGGAGATGCCCCTACAGGTGTATCCTTGGGGTCTCTTTGAGAAGACCTGTTCTCCTCTGGACCTCACCCTTCTCAGGTATCCTCTCTCATTAGGATTTGTTCCTTTTCTCATTAGTACAGTGTTGAGAAAAAAGAATAAAAAATAAAAAGTAAAAAAAGGAAAAGGGAAAAAAATTATTCCTTTAAGCCTCAAGTGATTCATAAATGGATGAACAATCAGGCATAAGGATTGGACACATGTGGAAAAATGTCTGTTTTGAACCTTGCCTGAGGAAAAATGGACACACCAAGGCTGGGCATAGTGACTGACACTTATAATCCTAGCAAATCCTAGCACTTTGGGAGGCCAAGGTGGGTGGATTGCCTGAGCTCATAAATTTGAGATCAGCCTGAGTCAGAGCAAGACCCCGTCTCTAAAAATAGCTGGGCATTGTGGCAGGCATCTGCAGGCCCAGCTACTTGGAAGGCTAAGGCAAGAGGATCACTTGAGCCAAGCAAGAGTTTGAGGTTGCTGTGAGCTATGACACTACAGGACTCTACTGAGGGCAACAAAGTGAGACTCTGTCTTAAAAAAAAAAAAAAGACACAGCATTCACATTCACAATACCTTGTGAATTTGGCTAAAATTACTCTTTTTATTTTTTTTCCCCTTAAGTTCAGCTACCAGCTAGACCTCAGAGCTCATATTCTTTCTATGGGATGGCATGTCATTCTCTTGCTCCTTTCTCTTTCTCCCACATCCCATCTTCTCTTCTTTCACTCCCTGCTCTCTATTCTCCTCTCTCTCCTCTCTCTGCCCACTCTCACTAGTCCCTACACCCAGAACTGGAGCCCTCTTTTTGCCAACACAGGTCTACTGTCTGTTACTTCACTCCTCCCTTAGATTAAAAACACTGGGGAAACTCAAGCATCTAGCCCCTTTGTCCCCATACCTGCAGACAACCTCACTGACCAGTTAACCCAAACCAAGTTCCACCTCTTCCCTGAAACACACTCTGTTGTAGCCCCACATATACAAGCTCTCACCAGAGCGACTCTAAGACAGCCCTTTCCATCTAGGATATTGGAGCCCTCCTCCACCCCCGAGAAATTTGCAGGAACTCAGGGACTGCTCCTTTCCATCAGCTTTTCCACTTGTCTCGATGACACACACATCTTTTTCTATATGGGACCTCTACTTACCTATGCCTCCCAAGAAACTGAACTGGCACCTACACTCTTTCCTACTTTCCCCTAATACTCCCCAAACTCTCTCTCAATGTACTCCCCCAAACCTTCACAGTCCTACTGTTGCAGGAAAATGGCAAATTAAAACAAACAGACACTTACACCAACAATATAGAGGAAGGAACCTTTAATTGCTGGGGAGAACTCATATGCCTCAAGGCCTGAAATGCTGACGTCCAGGGAACAGGTTTTTTCCAAAAGTTTTTACACCTTTCTTTTTCCTTCAGTTCAATATCAGCAACATAGTTATGGCTATGGATGTTAGAAACCAGGGTATTGTTATTAGTTACAGAGTCTTTTTTTCTTTTGCTTTCCAAGGCTATTTTAGCTCAGTGTAAAGTTTGTTCTTATCTTTGGAGGAGGAGTTCTTCTGCAGCTGCCTGCTGCTTTCTCAGGATCGCTAAGAAGCATAAGATTTATTTCTCCTTCCTCACTACTAACACTGGATTCCTTGCACTGAGGACAACTATGACCCTCCTCAGCCAGAAGCAGTTTTGGAAGACTGATCATCAACCCTGTCACAAGAGTTGTTAACGTTGGTAGGTTGAACTCAGCCCCACACCTGCCCCTGCAAAAACCACAAAGGACCTAGCTAGCCCCTCCCCAAGAACTTCCACCGCAAGACCCCTAGCCCATCAGAATCCCCAGGCCAGTAGTAAATTTTCCCACTTGCTATGGCCCAGTATAAAACTGTCCAAATCATGCTTGATGTAGACACCATCTTTGGCTCTGCCCAGGCAGGTTTTCTTTGCTTTCATTGAACCTGGCCTGAATCCAGTCTCATCTCTGGGTACATGCCCCTGACCTTTCAGTATTGCTCACCCCTTCTTCCTTCTTTTGGCCACAGGCAAGTTAGGGGTGTTTAACTGGGACAGATCCGGGAGATGGGGGCGGAGGGGCACTGGGACTTCCCACCCAGAACTTTCAACTTCACAACAAACTTTTGGGGGGGGCCAAAGGACTCCGGGCAGCAGAGCTCAAAGCAGGGCCAAAAGGTGCAGTTGGGTCCACAGAGATTAGTCCGGTTCAGGGGCAGGATGGTGTCATCGTTACAGCACTGCTCCTGGGGGTTGTAGAATCGGTCCCCACACCTGGGCGCTGGCTGGCACAGCCACAGTCCTGAGCTGATAGGAGCATCTTGGGCAGACATTGCTGGTGAGCATCCAAGGGGGAACAGATACTCAGTTCCCAGTCTTTGTTCCCAAAGGCACCTCCTCCTCCCTCATTCTTCCCTATCCTTGTCCTTACCTGTGGTTCCTCTTGACCACCAGAGGATGAAGATGGTCATGCAGCAGATAAGAACTGTGGGGAAAAGAAGAAAGGCTGAGAATGTGAAGAGTCCGGGAGAAGTGCAGGGCTGGGTTGTTTAAGGGTGTTATCATTTGGGGCCCTGCCGACTCGGACTCCGTTTAGGCAGGTCCCAGGCAGCCTGCTTAGTCACCCGTGAGGTGATCAGAAGGGAAAGAGGTTAGAACGATGGTAGAGACAAGAAGGAATGAGTCAGGTTGGGGTTTGGGAGCCACACTGCAGATGGGATGAGCTGATGGTTGGCTTTGGGGTCTTCCTTACGCTGGTGCAGCATTGTGGCATCTTCACTCCTGAGGACGCTCTATGGAAGGAGACAGGTAAAGGGCTGGCACTTTTATCAGTAGAAAATTGGGCGTGGATCTCACCACTTCCAGTTTCCCAAGGACATTCTTTGAGAATCACATAAGCTTAGCGTCTTTAGGAGGAGCCTCGGTGGTGAACTGCAAAGCTGAATGCTGCAGATTGATTTGTTGCTTCTTTTGGACTTGGAGGGTGGTCCAGATCTCAGGGTGAATGAACCAGGTTGCTACTACTTCACGTTGGGCTTCTAAGAATTTTCTGCACCAAGCACCAATGAGCGGAAAGTGGCCAGCTAAGTTCTAATCAGAAAGAATTTGACTACTTCCCATCTGGTTTCCAGTCCCTTCTCCTCAACCCTTGCTTCTGCTCTATTGCCCAAGCACCATGTCTCTGGAAATGCCAAGGGGACCCTCAATCAAACTACTTTTTTTTTCATCTTGGAGTCATCAGAGTTGTGGTGTGATATGAAAACCTCACAAAGGGCCAGGTGTGCTGGCTCAGACCTGTAACCCTAGCACTTTTGGAGGCCAGGGTGGAAGGATCACTTGAGGCCAGGAGTTTGAGACCAGCCCAGCCCCTTTTTCTTGTTTCTAATCTTAAAGAAAGATCTTTCTTCTTTCACCATGAAATTCACAGCCTCGAGTAGAAGACACAGAAATAAGCAAATTATACATAGAATATGTTAGTTTAATTAAGGATAAATGCAACAGCAGGTGGCATAAGACATACTAATGCATAGAATTTTGTCACAGGAGAAAGTGTCTCAGAGAATCTGAGTACTCAATAATTAGTAGGAGCAGAAAATCTAGGAAGGTGATAGGTTCTTCAGTAGGGATCCTCTAGCAGGGATCCTAATTTCTTTTCATGGGTGGCTCTGAACAACAATGAAATAGGAAAACCTCCAGAAAGGCAGAAGCTGAAGAAACCAGAGTGGTTAACCAAGGAAGTGGATCTGTTACCACAAAGTGAATCATCCATATCACATCTATTACCATAGGGCATAGTTTTTTCCTCTGACTTTGCTGTAAGTACAATTTATCTATTTTTACTTTTTGGCCTGTACTTTTGGTGTCACATCCAAGAAATCTGCAAATCCAATGTCATGAAGCTTTCTCCCTATGTTTTCCTCTAAGAGTTTTACAGTTTTAACTCTTGCATTAAGGCCTTTGACCCATTTTTAAATTAATTTTGGTATATGGTAAGAGATAGGGTGTCTAACTTTATTCTTTTGAAAACAGATATCCAGTTTTCCCACTATCTTTTGTTGCAAAGACTGTCCTTGTTAAAAACCATTTGTCCAGCCTTCCTTTTTTTTTTTTTTTTTTTTTTTGAGACAGAGCCTCAAGCTATCCCCCTGGGCAGAGTGCCCTGGCAACACAGCTCACAGCAACCTCCAACTCCTGGGTTCAAGCGAGTCTCCTGCCTCAGCCTCCCAAGTAGCTGGGACCACAGGCACCCACCACAACACCCGGCTATTTTTTGGTTGCAGCCATCATTGTTGTTTGGCAGCCTGGGCTGGATTCGAACCCGCCACCTTAGGTGTATGTGGCTGGCGCCTTAGCCACTTGAGCCATAGGCGCCGAGCCACCAGCCTTCCTTTTGTCCAAAGATGCCATCTTCCAGTAATTCACCAAAAGGGAAAGAGGAGAGGCACCTGACACATGTTCTCTAGGCCTTTTAGAAAACATAGAGTTGTTCCTTTGGCACCATACATAGGAATCTATAAGAAAGGTGATTCTGTAGACATCAAAGGAATGGGTACTGTTCAAAAAGGCGTGCCCTATAGATGTTACCCTGGCAAAACTGGAAGAGTCTACAGGGTTCCTCACCTTGCTGTTGGCACTGCTATAAACAAGTTAAGGGCAAAATTCTTGCCAAGAGAATTAACATGTGTATGGAGCATATCAAGCACTTAAAGAGGGGACATAACTTCTGAAATTGATGCAGGAAAATGACTGGGAAAAGAAGGAAGCCAAAGAAAAAGGTGTCTGGGCTTACCTGAAGTTACCACTGCTCCACCCAGAGCAGTACTCATTGGTTGCTTGAGAGTATGTTAAACACATCTTGTTTAATGTCCACATAGTTGTGAATTTTCTGTTATTGATTTCCAGTTTTATTCCATTGTGGTCAGAGAAGATACTTTTTCATTTGTTTGTTTGTTTGTTTTGCAGTTTTGGGCCAGGGCTGGGTTTGAACCCACCACCTCTGGTATATGGGGCCAGCACCCTACTCCTTTAGCCACAGGTGCCACCCAAGACACTTTTTCTAATTGCAATGTTTTTAAATGTATTGAGACTTGTCTTATAACCTACTATATTGTCTATCCTGGTAAATATTTTGTGTGCACTTGAGAAGAAAGTGTATTCCGTTGTTGTTAGATGGAGTGCTCTGTATATATCTATTAGACTAAATTGGTTTTGAGTGCTACTTAAGTCTTCTAATTCCTTATCAATCATGTATGTACTTGTTCCAGGGTGTTGGTATCTCTGACTGTTATTGTACTTCCTCCCTTTGATTCTGTCAATTTTTGCTTCTTATATTTTAGGGTTAGATAAGTTTGTTTTTATAATTGCTATATAGTCTTGATAGGTCAATACATATTGTCCA